GAGCAACCATTCGAACCCTAACCAGCCAGCTAAAAAAATTAGCTCTAGGAAAAACAACTGCCCCCTTTCCTAACCAAGAAATCAGACAACTCACTAGTGAGGAATTTGAACAATTGAGTGCTAGAATGTATTTCTTCAGGCATTCTATCATTTGATCTTTTTGTGAGAAAAGCCAAGAAATAGAGGACCTCAAACCCCATATATATACCTTAGCCGAAGAGAGCAGAAATAGTGAGTTAGTCACTATACAACAGTTTTTTTAGGATCTCTCCATAACATGAGTTCACTGCCCTGGCATAGCTTATCAATGGACTTATCTCTACGAAGATGAAGAGCAACCCTGCTTAGAAGAGGAAAGATGTATGAACAGGCCAGAACATTTTGGTCGATGCCAGTGTAATTTAGATTTCAACATTTGTCATTGCCAGATAAATCTAGCAACGTTCGAACCATTGGAGATAGAGATTAGGGGCAAAACGTGTTATCTAAAGGCCTCACAATTGTTAGATTACGGCCTTGTCTCTAGAATAATTTTTTCAGATCCAGATTAGACAGATAGCTTTGGAAATAAACTTGCTCATTCAGTACTTTGTGTAATGGAAGAACATCATCCATATGTAGAAACATTAATTGATAGCAGGCTACTAGAGTGGAAAGAAATAAGATGCATCCTAGCCAAGCATAAAATGTACCTCAAAGGAACCTCAACATTTTCTGGATACCCAAGACTTCTCAATTGGAGACCCTGGCCATGCAGAAAATTTTCACTCAGAGATCAGCTCGATAAATGGAGGAAATTTGCTAATAATCCTCTATTAGCATATAATGGAAATTATGGACATTTAGTTTGCGAAGATAGAAATCAGAAGATATACTGTAATCTAGCTATCTCAGGATATCCCTTCAGCAAAGAAACATTCGTTGATGAAAGCCAGTATCCTAACTATCAGCATAGCGTCTCTCATGAGTCACCACTAATGGGAGAAAATGACCAAGATAATCAATGAGAAGATGAACCAGCCATGGGGGATGATTTTTACGACCAACTTTCAGCGGCAGACCTGGACGATCTCTTAGATATAAAAAATGGGTAAAAAAAAAAAAAAAAAAAAAAAAAAAAAAAAAAAAACGTGCACACCATAAATAGGTTATTGTAATCTTTGGAAGTATCCTAACAAGCCCTTGTTTTCTAGACTCAGAAATTTTCCTTAACCCTTTGCAAATCCACTTTGAAGATTCACTCCACGGGTCTACATCAATAATTGGTATTTCAGTAGAAGAAGACAAAATCCGTAAGGCCTCTCTTCAATTATCAGAGAAATGCATGCCAAGAAACGACAAAAGATTCCGTAAATATTTGTGTCTGTAATTATTTGCGTCTATCAATGATAAGGTTTCTCCTTCGCTCATTACTTTAATAAAGCAGATGACCCCTACCCTACTTCATTAAAGAAAAGCTGTGAGAATCCTTACGCACGTCCTGTAATAAATTATAGTATTAAAATTTTATCAAAAAGAGAGGATTGAATAATGTGCGATGGGACCCAAAGCAGTACCCGACATCATTATCCAAACCCTCTACTTGTTTTTATCCGCATAGAAAGCTTGTCAAAATAGGCATATAATTGTAGGCATAAGTCTTGTCTTTATTATAAAAGCCTATGTCTAGGCTTGAATAGGCCTTAGACTTTTAGGAAAAGCTTAGATGTAAGATATGGAGTCTAGATTTTGGGTTCTGTTTTTATCTTCCTTTTGTATTGTATAAATTGGCATTCATGCCAACGGAAGAAGCAAAATGAAAAATTCCCCTTCACTCTACTTTGTAAAAATTTCCAACCCCTCTCAAAAGCCTTTAAGTGTATCAAGTCTTTCAAAGTCTGTAATATAATCTTTGTAAGTATATTCTTTAATAATATGAAATGTGAGTAGTCTCTCTTTTTCCTTAAATATTTCAAAAAGGTAACTCTTCTATTCTAAAAATTTATTTTCTTTTTGGAAAAACTTAAGTTTATGGAATGCTTGTTTACTCATTAATATTACATGTTTTGTACCTTCGTAGTATCTGTTGTTTTCTATTTTATTTCAAAACTGATAACAAAATAAAATTTTAATATTCAACAACTTATATTTCAAAATACAATTCAAAACTCATTTCAAAAATTAAACCAAATTGAGTCAAAATTTTGGTAAAAAAAAACAAAAAAAAATGGTCAAGTTGGCGCAAGCCAAAGCCCACTGGCTCAGCCAGCCAACCCACCCGAGGCCCAAGCAACCCCTAGGCTTGGGCTTGGGCCGAATTTTGCACAAGTAATCCGGCCAAGCCCGATCCAATCCAATTTTTGGTAGGAGTCTGCATGGCCCAATAGTGGGCCCAAAGAGCCAAATTTACACCCCTATGTGTATTATATTTTCTAGTTATCACATTTGCAATTTTCTATTTATACCTATTATATTATTAGTTATTCTTTGATTATGTTTGGTTATGATATTAGTTATGATTGATTTTGATTATTTTTTAGTTATAATAAAAAAAAAATTTGACATGTACCATATAGTAGTTATAATATTTGTAATAATTAATATTATAATATGTATATATATATATGTATTGTATTTATATTTTATGTTAATGAGAGAAAGAGAGAGAGAGAAACAGAATGATAAGGTACGTCTAATAAGAATAACGTTTAAGGCAAGAGAAAGCTCTATTTAAAAGAAGTTATTAATTGGTGAAGGACAACGTCACATAATATTTTACATTATTTTATGTGCATTGTAATGGGTAGAATGAATAAAATTTATATTTTTATATTAAATAATTAAAAAATATAAAAAGATATAATAATTTATAAATGACAAAAACATAATCACTTGCCAATAATTTTTTCTCACTCAGTCGTCAAACTTTGGGCGCATAATAATTAATAATAATAAAGACAGAAGCTTCCTCGATATTTGAACGCATGCATGGGAGTGCGTTGTATTCTCCTTTCCTTTCCTTTCCTTTCCTTTTGCTTTTTTCTCTTTCACTCTGTCTCTCCCCATCTGTGTTTGTGCTTTTTTTATTTTTTTTTAATGGACAGATTAATCCTATGATCAGCAGAAACTGGGGCTCTAAACTACAGCTACAGCCTCCAAAGTCTTCTTCCCCGCAATCACTAAAGATAGTTGCACCACCCCCACCATCTTTTCTCCTCCACAAAAGATAACCCTCCTCTCTTGGACCCATTTTTGTGTACCTTCTCTGATGCAATTGGTGTACATAGATAGTGAAGTACAACCATGTAACGAAAAGTTTTGAAGGGAGACATATTAATTTATCTTATGAGATAAAATATAACTTACTTAATATTTGATATGATTTCTTATTAATTAAAAGTATGACGTAAGTATATCACATTGGAATTTTTAATTAATTTTTATAAAGTTTTTGAAGAAGTTGATTATTAATAATCCCACATATTATCAGAATAAATAATAAATTTTGGATTTGAATGTCACTTCCTCTTTAATAATTATAATATTTGAACGTGTTTGATTATCATGTGAGAATACCTTGTGTTTGAATCTTCCCATCTGCTTAATAATTAGAAAAGAAATTCTATTATACAGATATTAAAATTGATGGTAATGGTAACTAAGGTCAAATTTAGCCCATGATTTTGTGACTGTAAGCATGAAGGTAGCACTTGGGTTTTTGGAGGTTCAACTACTGTAAGTACTAATCTAATAATTATATATTATCTTTGGTTGATTAAAAAATGAAAAATTATGGATCAGTGGTAGTTACAAAAAAATAATACAGATTAATGAAAAAATTTATGCTTTTAACTATCAATATTTATAAAGATGACTATTTATTTGTAATTATTTTTCAACATCATCCCTGAAGTGAAATTTCCCCATTGAAAAAAATAAAAATAAATAAAAAACACAAAAACCTATGGTCAAATTAAAGCTGATAATATACACATGATCGAAATTGAAGTGCATCAAATAAAGATTTTGAGTAACAAAGAAATTAACAAAAGGTTCATAACAAACTACTCCTAGATTCAAAATTAAACTACAAGTGTAATTTGTGGAAAATGTGTTTGAGATATATATGGGCTATGTAGAGTTTTCGAGGTGATTCAACACCGACTATGTACAAAACTACAAGGAATGTGAAGAGGTCTAAAAAAAAGGGCATGAAAGTTTAAAGTTAGATATTCGCTGCCGGCTTCTCTCGCTCGGAATGCTCCTTCCTTCATTCCAAGTTGAAAAAGGGGTTTCAACTTCTACTTCTACATCACATCTCTCTCTCTCTCTCTCTCTCTCTCTCTCTCTCTCTCTCTCTCGGTTCTGCCCTGATGAGCGTTTCAAAACTCTCTTGCATCTTTCCTTTTTCTTTTTATTTGGTACACTTTTAAACCTTTCTTTACTGTTCTAAGTGCTCCCTCAAACCCTAACTCTCCTGCCTTTGCTTTAATGGGTTTAATGGGGATCTTCTTGTAAATTGATTTATTCCTTAACCATAGTTCCAATTATTATCATCATTCGTATTACTATTCGCAATGATTGGCTAACTAACTTCGAGCAACCAACTTATATGTAGAAGCAGTGCTCAGAAAAAGAAGAAGAAGAATGCCCTACAACCAAAAGAGAGGCCAACATTTTTGACCCAAGATCATAATTACTAAACCCCACCACACGAAATTAAGATATATCATAAACTTTAAAATGCATAAAATCATAAATAAGGGTACCTTTCTCAGCAGCTACTAATTATGTCCCTAGTCACATGTACTAACACATGTTATATCATCAATCAAAAGCAAAAATGCTGAAGGCACATAAGTAGTAACTATCGACAGGAGTTATTTAGTGTGTGGGATTTCGTATGTGTACATCTTTACTCATCATCAATATGATATGCAACACGCATGAGTACACATCCGTGCTTACATTGACTAGAATGCAATGCATTTCAATTAATCAAAATATGCTAGCCCTGATCAAGAAGAAGCATCAGCAGGTGACGATAAAAACAAAGCATAAGTTTAAAGGTTAAAGTACAAATATACCAGTTAAACTTAAATTCCAGTCAAACTTAAAATATTTGCCATGCAGATGCAATGGCATGTGTCATAGTTAAGAGGAAATTAACTCAAATGTGAACGTCTTAAATTTTTATAACTTAAAAATAAAAATAAAACTTCAAAACCCTAGAAATCTGATGATAACATATAAGCGAGCTCTACTCTAGAAGATAGCTGAATCACTTGGTGTCTAGTTAAGCAATGACCTAGATTCAACCAAAGGGAGAATTTCTTCCTTGTGGCATGGTATTGGCAGCTGCAGGGTTATTAATCCTATGATCAGCAGAAACTGGGGCTCTTCGTGGAGAGGGCCTTTCAAGCTTTGCTGATGCATCGAACTTCTTTTCTCCCATTGCATTTCCAGAGAGGATTGGCTTTGTTTCATACATTTCTGACATCGACTCCATATCAGTGCCTCTATCGATATGAATCTGATCATCTTGCTGGGAGCCAAGACATGATGAGGTTGTAGTTGTTGTTGTTGTTCCCAATTCTTGCAAATGGAGATGATCATCTGACCACATTAAGGGGCTCTTGCCACTGCCATATGGGTTAATTGGCCTCTTCTTCCCCAGTCCACCACACATGTTATGATCATTATTACTTGGCATGAATCCATCATGAAGTACCGGTGATGATCTGTCCATGTTGTGCTGAACTTGAAGGTCAAGTTGATCACCTCCATATATGTTTAGGTCTTGAAGAGAGGGAAAATTGAGTAGTGGAGAACCAAAGTCCTTCATGGCTCCGATATTGTCCGAAACTCCTTGATTTCCTCCTCCCTTGTAGCTTCCTGAAGCAGCCATGTTCTCACCGGCGAGTGTTTGACAGGCTTTCTCCAGTATAGTCTGCATGTACTTCCCTTGAGCTTCAATCCTCAATTGAAGGTGTCTCTGAACCTGTCATGCCCCATAGCACAACACAAGAATAACCCCACCTCCCAATGAAATCAATTTATATATATATATATATAAGCACAACAAAAGTAGCTACTTTGCTAGGAATAGGACCCATTCCCATTCCCACTTCAGTTGGAAATGACAAAAAATATATTGATCAGTTGAGGTGTTTGGGGTTGGAAATTGTCTGTGTGCTTACCTCTAATTGTTCATGTAGTCTTCTCTGCACCTCCATTTGCATCCTAATTGCATCAGTGAAGTGAAAATTACTGCTATTGATATCATAACATTCAACAAGAAAAATCAAAAATCCCAAACGTAAGAAAGAAAGAAGAAGAAAAAAACTCATCTTTTCTTATTTATTGTTGTAACCATCCTGGTGGCCCTCTCCCTCCCCCTCAACCCCAACACAAACATTAAGATTTGAGAGAGAGAGAGAGAGAGAGAGAGAGAGAGAGAGAGAGCAAAATCAAAGAAAGGATTGAGAAGGAAGTACATACTCATTCATACTACGTGCCATAATCCCAGAGGAAGAAGCTGTATTTCTTTGGAGATCTAAAGCTGAAGCTACCACGGACAATTGAACAGCTTAATTAATAATAATATATATGAGTTATGCAGTTAATACAAATGAATTACTAGAAATTGATAACCTCTCTCACCATCTTTGATTGAATGATCATTAAATTCCTTGTGAGGTTGCTTTCCAAGCCTGAATTTCTGGTCAAGACAAACAAGAGATTAATTGAATCAAACGGAAGGAAAAAAAAAAGAAGAAGAAGAAGAAGAAGAAGAAAAGAAAAGTGAGAGAGAGACACACACATGAAATATATGTGTATTATATGCGTGAGTGAGTGAGTTAGTTGTATTGAATCTCAAACTCAAACCTGAAGATGGCTCTTGAGATGGTAAAGAGTGAGACCCTTCACACCCATAACTCTCATGATCGTCTTTGGTGTGGCCTCTGCGCAGTTCACATAGAAAATAACAAAGCAAATTAAAGAAACAAATTTAATAAATAAAGAAAATTTTGAGTAACATTAATGGAACCCAAGATCAAAGATAAGAAAGAATTAAGTACTGTCTGGTCCCCCAAGCTGAGTTACGGCGTCGACAAAGCGCTCATGGAGCTCAACGGTCCATCGGAGGCGGGGCTTAGGGTCTGTGGTGAGGACAAGACCAGAGTCTCCTTGAACACACATGGGTCTATCATGTGAATTCATAGTCGCAGGCTTCTTTGAATGGAACATTCTCTCTCTCTCTCTCTCTCTCTCACTCTCTCTACAAAGAGATTCAAGAACAAATGCGATGCAAATAGAATAGGGTGCGTTTTTTTGAAGAAGAGAAGGCCTTTGATTTCTCAAATAGAAAGGCCGGGGGGACAAGCTAACCCTGCACAAAAAAGGAAATTTCAAATATACTTAATTTAAAAAATCAAAAAAATAAAATTAAAATTTAAAGTGCACCTACTCTAATATACGGTCCTTCCTTTGCCTAAAGATACATACTCTCTCTCCCTCCCTCAAAAAAATTAAGAAAATTTACTGTTAGAGGTTGGCTACCAAGTTTCTAGACCGTGTGATTACACTTTTAGTCACTTAGGCTTCGTTCGATAAACTTCTCAAATTATAGTTAAACTCATTAATTTGAGTGTGTTATTTGTTTTGAGCTTTCAAATTATAATTCTACATCTATTTCTCAAAACTCAATTCAAAACATAATCATTACTTTTCAAAACTCATAACCAAACACATAATTCAAAACTTTTTTCAAAACCCAATTCAAATCAATATTTTAATTTTTTAAATATTTTAAATATTTAAATATTTTAAAAATATTTTAATTTTGTTAAGATTTTAAATATTTTAATATTTAAATATGTTACGATTTTTTTAATTTTTTGAATATTTTTAAATATTTTAATTTCAAAATATTACGATTTTAATTTTTTAAATTTTAAAATATTTTATAAAAACAAATTCAAACTCTATTTTATAAAAATAGAGTTTGAAGGCTAAAAATATTACAATTTTAATTTTTTAAATTTTAAAATATTTTATAAAATAAATTCAAACTCTATTTTATAAAAATATTTTTAAATATTTTAATTTTTTTTGTTATGTAGTTGGTTACGATTTGAGTGTAGAGTTGTGAAAATAGTATAGAGTTTCGAATTATGTGTTTGGTTATGAGTTTTAAAAATAATTTCTTAATTAAGTTTTATTTTATATGTTGGTTACGATTTGAGTATAAAGTTGTTTTTAAATTTCAAATATTAACATTTTAAATTATTTAAATTTTTTGAATATTTAAATTATTTAAATTTTTACTATTTAAATTTTTTGAATATTTATTTTAATTTTTTACTTATTAAATTTTTTAGATTATTTAAATTATTTAAATATTTATGATTTAAATTTTTTGAATATTTATTTTGAAAAAAAATTATTTCCTTTGTAGTATTTTCAATTAAAAAATTGATTAATTTTATTTTCTGTTAATAATAAATTTTTTTAATTGAAGTTTAAAAAGAGTTTGGTTATGCGTATTGATCAGAATTGTCAATAGTGTGAAAGTAGTGTGTTGTTATGAGTTATAACAATTTAAATTAAAACTCATAACCAAACAAACTTTCTTACTTCACATGTCAAATCAAACTTTCAAAACTTAATTCAACATTTTATTCAAAAATCATAACTAAACAAATTTTCTATACTCTAATCATAATTTCACAAACTCAAAATACAACTCACACTCTCAAATCATATTTACAAAACTCCACCAAACGCAACCTTAATCTCTCGTAAGGGATTTTTAGATTTCAACTTTTCCCAATCAAAAAAATAAATGTTCTAACATGCAATATGACACTCAAACATAGTGATATATAAATTTAGTTATAAAATGATGCAATTGTATTGCTGATTTATTATTTTAAATAAAGTATGTGTTTCAATGACATTTAATTACAAAAATACTGTGACTACATTTTTTATGAGAAATTATGTATAAACATAGAAAAATAAATACCATTTTGATGGAAAAATTTATGTACGTAATCTTAAATTTTGTAAAGTTTTTCACTAATATGAAAATATTTTTCATAATTTCAACTGAAATTATATTTTTTTTTTATAAAAATTCTGTATGAAGAACTCTTTGTTTGTTATAATGTTGAGAGAGAGAGAGAGAGATAGTACATATGGTTAAATAGAGTACATCTTTGCAGGGCTCTTCTCGTACTATCCAGTGAGTGATGTGAAAGTTTTTCGGTATTTATATATTAAAAAATATTTAAAACTTTTAAAAATATCCACAATAATATGACAGGATACGTGTTTATTTTTAATTCGTTGCACTTAATAATGGTAGATCCAACTCACATGTCATATTACTGTAGCTGAATTTGTATATATAAATGTGTAGATTTCTAATATTACACTTTATATTATTAAAATAATAGCAAGAAGTGAGAGAAAATATTTAAGATCCACAAAAAAAAATAAAAAAATAAATAAAATAGAATAAAATAAAAATTCACAATTTGACCTACAATATTGTGATAGAATAAATGTTAACTTTTAATTTATCACTCATTTAATTGTGTAGGTTGTATCTCTCTTACAACATCATTATAAATCTATTTAAAAACCTAAATTATAAATCTCTGATCACTTCTTGCAAGGAGGGAGTGAGTGTGAATAAGACTCGTCACGTAATCATAATGATGGTGATCATTTTGTTGCACCTTTTTGTGCTTTCTCCAGTTGTACCAGAGATAGACTTGTATATATATACACGAGAATGAATGCGACTACCGCTTGCATTGCATTGGCATTTGCGTTAGCATGTAAAACAATAACTCTGCCAATTGCCATGATATGATTCGTTTGATTCGACTTTCTCCTCCGTTTCATAGTACCCACCCCTTTATACATATTTTTTGCATCACCGCCATCACTATGTCGATGTCCATATGTGAACTATAATCAGCAATTATATATGTTGAATATAATTTTTTTTTTAATACCTAGAACACCTTTGTGGTAGGACTTTTATGATCCACCATTACAAGTCAAACGGGACAAGCTAACCGATCCATCTAAACCATCAGACTTCTACTTAAGTAGTAGGGGATTCGAATCATGACCAGTAAGGAAAAAAATATACTCCCTTACCAACTAAGATAATCCCTTAGTGGTAATATAATTTTGTTTACTCACTCAATCGATGAATTAATAATATCATATTTTTTTATTAATTAGTTTGAAATAATAGATCTGAATTACACATTTAAAATAATAAATTCAAATAAAATAACCACACAAGTAATGAATTTCAGAAAATGAAATGAATTTCCTGTATTATATTTTCATTCCATACTTTCAATGACAGATTACATTGATATTTATATACATTCATAACCATCTAATCTAACTCTAGTTCTAACTAATTCTAAACTCAACATACTCTAACTACAGCTAGTTACAACCACTAACTAATACAGTTATTATTCTGTTACACTTTCTGTTACACTGGATGAGCTGGCACTGCTGGTAGTGGACTGATGTTACTGCAGGTGAATCTGCTTCGGTTGCTCTGAGTTGTGTGATATCCTATCATCCCCCCGCAAGCGAATGGGTGGAGGAGACACCAAAAGCTTGGTTGTGAGAAATTGAAACCGTGAAGTGGAAAGAGGTTTGGTGAACACATCCGCAAGTTGATCCAAAGTAGGAATATAGCGAAGAACTAACTGATGGGCAGCAACCTTTTCTCGCACAAAATGGCAATCGACCTCGATGTGTTTGGATCAACTATGGAAAACTGGATTGGTAGCAAGGGGGAAAGAGCAGATTGATTATCACACCAAATGATAGGAGGAGAGGGAAGAGAAATAGCAAACTCAGTTAAGAGCATTTGCAACCAAGTGACCTCAGCAGCAGTATGAGCTAAAGCCCGATATTCGGCTTCAGTGGACGAACGAGATACAGTAGCCTGCTTTTTAGAAGACCAGGAGATGAGATTGGACCCAAGAAAAATGCAATAGCCGGAAGTAGAACGCCGGTCTAAAGGATCACCAGCCCAATTGGAATCTGTGAAAGCCTGCAACTGAAAGGAGCTAGGAGAAAAGGTAAGGCCATGAGACAAGGTACCCTTAACATAGCGGAGAATCCGCTTGACAGCAGAAAAATTGGCATTAGAAGGAGAATGCATAAATTGGCAAGCTTGATTCACAGCATAGGCTAATTCAGGCCGAGTAATAGTCAAATATTGAAGACCGCCAACAAGACTGCGATAGAGAAAGGGATTAGAGCAAGGAAGAACATCAGCAGCAGAAGAAGAAGGCTTGCTAGAAACTGGGGTGGCACAAGGTTTACAAGCCACCATACCAGCTTTGACCAAGAGTTCAGAAGCATATTTATGCTGGGAAAGAAAGAAACCAAGGGAAGAAGAGGTAACAGAAATGCCCAAAAAATAGGAAAGAGAACCCAACTCTTTCAGGGAGAAAGCCTGGTGCATATGGGTTAACAAGGATTGAATATAAACAGAGTCATTTCCAGTGAGAAGTATGTCATCAACATAAATGAGCAAGTAGGTAATTGTGGAAGAAGTTTTGTGAACAAACAACGAGTGGTCACATTGACTCATGACAAAGCCTTGAGAGAGAAGAAAGGAAGAAAATGTAGAATACCAAGCTCGAGGTGCCTGTTTGAGGCCATACAAAGCCTTATGAAGTTTACAGACCAACTGTGGGTGAGAAGGATCAACAAAGCCGGGAGGTTGAACCATATAGACGTCCTCTTCCAAACGACCATGGAGAAAGGCATTGGAGATGTCCAATTGCTTTAAAGACCAGTTAGAGTGCAAAGCCAAACACAAAAGAATACGTATAGTGGGCTGTTTGGCAACAGGACTGAAAGTGTCCTGAAAATCAATGCCATGTTCTTGAAGAAATCCCTTAGCAACAAGGCGGGCTTTATGCCGAGCCACAGTACCATCAGAATTTTTCTTAAGTTTAAAAACCCATTTACACCCAATGGCTTGTTTCCAAACACAAAAGAATGCGGATAGTGGGTTGTTTGGCAACAGGACTGAAAGTGTCCTGAAAATCAATGCCATGTTCTTGAAGAAATCCCTTAGCAACAAGGCGGGCTTTATGTCGAGCCACAGTACCATCAGAATTTTTCTTAAGTTTAAAAACCCATTTACACCCAATGGCTTGTTTATGGGGAGGAAGAGGAACCAAGGACCAAGTGTGCTGCATTTGCAATGCAGAATATTCATCTAACATGGCTTGAAACCAAACAGGAGAGGTAAGAGCAGATTTGTAAGAAAGAGGTTCAGTTGAAGAAACCGGACTAGAAGTAAGAAAACAAGAAGAAGAAGGAAGAGAAGAAGAAAGTTTAGACTTGGATCTGGTTTGCATACTATGAGTGTTAGAAGTAGAAGAGGGAGTAGGAAGAGGTAAATGAATAGCAATAGAATTAATAGGAATAGGAGGCTGAGGACACTGCTGAGACTGCTGAAGCTGGTGTGTAGGCTGCGGAGATTGCTGCGGGAGTCGAGGCTGCTGGAACTGTGGAGGCAACTGAGAGGACGGAACAGGTTGTGTGGACAAGTGATTAGGATGGGAAACAGGTTGTGTGGACAGAGGCTGTGACGGCAACAGAGGAGACTGTGAAGGAGGCATGAGATGCCGAGGCTGGGAAGGAACAGACTTAGGAGAAGAAGACCAAAAGAAGGAAGAGAGAGTAGATTGAGTGGGTATAGTAAATGTAGGTGATGGAGTAGAAAAGGGAAAAATTGTTTCATGAAAAATAACATGTCTAGAAATAAGAGTGTGACCAGTTTGTAAATTGAAGCACCTGTAACCTTTAATGGATGGATGATAACCCAAAAATACACAAGGACTAGATTTAGGTTGGAGCTTATGAGTGGAGGCAAAACGAAGCCAAGGATAGCAAAGGCAACCAAACACTTTAAGCAAAGAATAATCTGGAGAAGTGTGAAATAATAGTTGAAAAGGGGAGGCATGAGACAGTGAAGCACTAGGAAGCCTATTAATAAGAAAAGTGGCAGTGGCAATAGCATCAAACCAATAGGTGAGGGGTAAAGAAGACTGATGGAGAAGAGCAATAGCAGTTTTCGTAATGTGCCTGTGTTTCCGCTCAGCAACACCATTTTGAGAAGGTGTATGAGGGCAAGATTGTTGATGCAAAATGCCATTTGTTTTGATAAAATGTTCCATTTGATGATTAATAAATTCTCCACCACCATCGGTTCGAAGGATTTTGAGAGGAAATCCAAATTGTTTTTCAACAAAAGATTTAAATTCCAAGAATTTAGAGTAAACCTCACTTTTATAACTCAAAGGATAAAGCCAAGTAAAGCGAGAGTAATCATCAACAAACAACACATAGTATTTATAGATGGAAGTAGAACCAACAGGGTGAAAAGGACCCCAAACATCACTATGAATAAGAGCTAATGGTTGATTTACATGAGAAGTAGACAATTTGAAAGGCAACCGATGACTCTTAGACATAGAGCAATCAATACAAGAAAAGGACGTTTTATTTTTATTTGAACGTAAAGGTACATTCAAAAACTGATGAAGATGTTGCAACTTGGACGCTGAGGGATGGCCGAGCCTTTGATGCCAAAGCATGAATGAATCTGAAGAAGTAGTGGTGCTGTGGAATGCTTGTGGTGAAGAATGCAAAGGAAAATGATAAAGACCATGCTTATGGAAGCCTTTATGGAGTGTAGCTTTGGTATTGTTGTCCTGAATAGAAAAGGCAGAATTATTAAAAGTAATAGAACAATTATTGTCTTTGGCTAATTGCTGAACAGAAAGAAGATTAGAAGAAAGAGAAGGAACATGGAGCACTCTTTTGAGTTTGAAAGAATGATGTGGAGTAGGTAAAAGACCTGAACCAGTATGATGGATAGGTAGAGAAGAACCATCAGCTACAGTGACTTTCTCAGAACCAGTGTAAGGGTGATAGGTAGTCAGATTATCAAGATCATTAGTAATATGATCTGTGGCAGCAGAGTCCAGATACCAAGGCTGAAGAGAACAATTCTGGGAAGCAACTTCAGAGGTAGATGTAGTGTAAGCTTTAGAGCCAGATGAAGCAGGAAAATGCTGTGGAGAAGACTGAGTTGACTGCTGAAAATGTTGAAAATGAGGATCCATACGATGCCAACACTCAAATGCAGAGTGATTTGGCTTGCCACAAATCTGACAAACTGAACCAAAAGGAGATCGAATGTGATTATGATTTTTGGACTGATATCTTCCTCTAGAAGAAGAAGAATATCTACCACCAGATCTATTCCCTCTGTAATGACCTCGAGAATCTCCTCTGTAGTTAGATCTACCATGATGATATGTAGAAAAACCTTTTGAAGAAGAAGAAACATTATCTTTCATAGCAGCATAGGCCAGAGAAAGCTCAGAAGAAGATTTTGGTTTCTCTTCAATATGTAAAGCTTCAGAACACAGTAAAGAAGATAATTCATCCATAGTAATCCCTTCAGAACGAGCTCTAATAGTAGTTTTAAAAGCATCGTATTCTCTTGGTAATCCATTCAAGGTGATGAGAACTATATCTTCATCATCAACCGAAGCTGAGGCAAGATGCAATTGATCAACCAATTCTTTGATATGACTCAAGTAGAGTTCCATAGACTCAGTTTTCTTAGAAATCGAATTCAGCTTATTCTTTAATTGGTGGATATGAGATCTAGAAAGAGAGGTAAAACGCTTATTCAGAGTTAGCCATACCTCAGAGCTAGTTTTGAGATGAAGAACCGAAGTGAAAATCGATGGTGAGAGAGTAGCAGTGACGCAGCTGAGAAGATGATTATCAATCATCTTCCACTTAGAAAATTCAGGATTAGGTATCTCTTTTCCAGTTGAATCAAGAATAAAAGGAGAAGGACATGAGGATGAACCATCAAGAATATCAAGAAGATCAGTTGCTCTGAGTATATTCTGTAACTGTGTTTTCCAGATTATGAAATTTGTTGAGTCAAGCTTTACATTGACGAAAGAGGAGAGATTAGAAATCAAGAGACCAAGATTGGCTGGAAGAGTAGGTAGTGCTGTTGAAGACGCCATGGATGACATCTCTAAAGCTCGTTAGAGCAGCATTAGCTCTGATACCATAATGAATTTCAGAAAATGAAATGAATTTCCTGTATTATATTTTCATTCCATACTTTCAATGACAGATTACATTGATATTTATATACATTCATAACCATCTAATCTAACTCTAGTTCTAACTAATTCTAAACTCAACATACTCTAACTACAGCTAGTTACAACCACTAACTAATACAGTTATTATTATGTTACACTTTCTGTTACACTGGATGAGCTGGCACTGCTGGTAGTGGACTGATGTTCACCCACAAATACTCTAAAGCGTGGCCAGCTATCAGTGTTTGGACTTGACTCAGTCTAGCTTGGCCTCTAGGTACCTGAACTCGGTAGAATGTCCAACTCAACTATTCAAGTGTGATGCACAAGTAAAACATGATGTTACTCCAAACACTGCCTTCCAACACAAGAAACAAGAGATTGCATTAACATAAAAATTACAAGAGAGTGAATAAGCATCTGTTGGAAATATTTAGGATTTCTTGTTACAACATATATATATATATATATATTCCATAGTGCTATAGAAAATGGGGTTCCCAACCCATTTGCATATTGTTCAAAAAAAAAAAAAACCCATTTGCATTTCTTATTGCATTGTTGACACATAATAAAGCATGCATTAGAATTGAGGTCCTTTTAATATTTACCAATTATCTCTTAAACTGATCTATAAATGTATAGAATTTACATAAGAATTCTAAGAATGAGTGGACAAATCAGTTTTTAGATCAATGCATTGAGTAATGTTATTCTAATATCAATGGATGACAACAATGCAGAATTTTTTTGTGCTAATTAATGTAAATTTAGAAGATAATTATTGACGATGAGGACGTGAAAAGTGAAAGCAATGGTCAAGAGAGACTCCAGACTGACAGCTCTCGAGCCTGCTTGTAACAATTAACACAAGCAGCACAAGACAATATTCTGAATGGGCACCCTCCTCCTCCTTTTCATGTGAATCTTTGTCCTCAATTTTTCTGCTTCAGATTCATGCTTGTTTTAGGAAAACAAAGGTGTATGTATACAAATAAATGAACTACTACTCTTTGAATTTAGAAAATAATTGATCAGGATGTGGTTTATGGAGAGAGACAGAGACAGAGAAAGAGCACTAGAGAGGGAACAACACAATAACAAGAAACCAATCCAACTTTAGGAAGATGTATCTTTTGTTAATGTGTATGTATTATGTGAGGAGGAGGAGGACGTGAACATCAATGCATAAAGTATTACTGTTTGTTTCATATATATATATATATCGTGGAGCTTTTCATGGCAGGTGGGTGAGGGTAAGGGTTGAGGGGACCTCTTTTCTCTTCTTCTAAAAGCCTTTTTGTTCTAAAGTTTACTGCTGGGGTGGGTCTGGGTCTCATCCTCCACCACTTTTGTGGAATAGAAGATTGTTCTCCTTGCTCCATTACATGTCTTTACATGTATGTATACATAATATATGAGTTATATGTTAACTTGTGTTTATTAAAATACATGTTAAGAAGATTATACATCCTTTCTTGCATTTACTTATATATAAAATGTACAATCTTATATGTATATATATATATATATATGGATGTATTTGTATAGAGATCACCATTCTCCCAGATAATACAGATCAAAAACAAACAAAGACAACTTAAAGAAGGGGGTCAAACCAAAAAAGCTTAGCATGGGCCCCATCCGTAGTTAAAAGAAAGTGAAATGAGGATGAGTGAGAACATTATAAAGGTAGCTACGAAGGGGATAATCTTATTACAAGAGAGAAATCAGATAAAGGATTGAGAAAAGAAACTAGAGAGAAATTTGGAAGAGTTTCGAATGATTTTAACAGAATTTGTTTTGATTCATCAAAAGACTTTCAAGGAAGTGAGATTGTTGAGATTGGAGTGGAAGATAGTAAGGGTTATAAAGATACATATTCAAACGAAATGTATACCCCTGGGAGAAGTAAAAGTAAATATTTTGGTGGCGTTGGGAAAAGGGAGAGGCCCAAAAGCAGGTCAGGGAAGGATATAGAGGTAGATAAGGGGTATGTAAATTCATGAATGTCACATATGCATGAAGAAATAAAACATCATTAGATGCTCACAGAAAATTTGTGCTTATAATTTTCATTAGAATCTTCATTGCCTCTTTCGTCATTTACAGCTGTTATGTTTACCACTGCATTGGCTTAAAAGAGTTTCATTTTTCATTGTTTTGGTGTTTTATTACATCTTATCTAGTAATATGTTAGATTTTTATGATAGCAGTGCGTAAGAACAACTAACCAACGCTTGTATGCCACCAAAGTCATTCAAAGCTTTTTTATGTCTTCTCTACCTCTCCTCTCCGTCCATTGGCTAGAAAAAGTATTTCTCATTTTTAGAGTAGAGAATAGAATATTGTCAAACTTCTATGGTGTTGGAAGGGATAGAATATTGCCCTACCCAGCCCAAGCCCAAGCCCATCTATTATTATTATTATTATTATTAAAAATTAACTAGCAAAAGCTAAGATTTAACCTTTAGTTCATATTATATATATAGTATAAGCCAGACGAGAACCCCAAATGACAAAAGTGATTCTAAGGGCATGCCATATCATATACTTGTTTGCTTAAATCTCAAGCATCTTTTATATCCTTTTTAATAGAATTTATTCTCACCAATGAATATATTCCTCCTTTCATGGTGTACTTGCGGGACCTATCCATCTCCATCTCCATCTCCATGCACCACAATTATTATTATTTTTATTTACCAGGCTGGCTGCTTCTTCGTCCGTCCTCTATGTCCACGTTTAATTTTTCCAAATGCAATTTGATAGAATTGTGTAAAAAATATATTTGTTCACACTTTGGGAGAGTGAACAAAACACAAAATTCGACGAGTCCAAAACAATGGGTCTCATATTCAAAAAGTACCAATCAAAGAATTGTATATTAAATATACAGCTACGAGTGTGTAAACAAAATTATACTCAATATAAAGTCTAACTTTACTTACGCGGAAGATATTAATGTCCTGTTACACCAAATCACTAAATTTTATTTGTTTGTATGCAGACCAATACACTCAATAGTCAACACATCTCCATCGATATCTATCTATATGTAAATAAATGAAAAAGAAAGAAAATTCCCACTCAAAACACATTATAGACGAGTCTCAGAATGGACAGCCGCAGCAGACAATGATCACAATGATTATATATGTATATGGGGGTATATTTTTACATTCCATTCTCACAATGTTTTTTATATGTTTACATCCTCTTTATTTTTACACACATGGCATGATAACATATGGTATGGCATGGCAAGGGATGCATTAACTGAGTCAACTCAGAACTCACACGGATTGCCCAAGAATCTGATTCCTGCCCAGGTGAGTGCATGTCATTTTATTCTTCTCTTTTTGTTTTTGTTTTTTGTTAATTTGTTTTTTTCCATTGGGTTATCCCTTTCAATATCATGATTAGTTTTTTCTTTTTCCATTTTTTTATTTTAGTAAAAGCCTATCACAAACTAAGGTTGGGTTAATTACAAACAAAAAGCCCCAACCAGGACATCAAAACTCGTCCTCACATTGATTGAGGTTTCAAGAAAAAAAAAAATTCTAAATATTAAAACCCAACAAAGCCTAAATAGACCATAACTATTGGCATTTGTTTCCATTCTGCTAGAATCAGCCAGTATCATGCCAGAAACACTCATTTTGAAACACTATTCAGTTAAAACAAACAACCAACCATACCACCCACCAAAGAAAATAGGAAAGAATGCAGTAAAAACTTTTTCAAAACAGAACAAGATGACAAAAAGTGAAGGTTTGCAACACAAAATCATGTAACAGCTGTTGTATCTTACATACAGTGCAAATTGACACTTATTTATATACCTACAGAAACTTGTCTTATACGAGCCTTGAGAGGTAGTGCTGTTCCCCCAAGCTACCTCAACAACCTGCACTGGCAAAATTTAACACATTTTTCCATTTCAAAATGCTGAGTCCATAACAAGAACATCTTCATTCAATTGGCTTGTGCCGGAAGCTTGCTAATGATTAAAATACAAACCTCAAACGTCAATTACTGTTCATATTTCCCAAACACACGTACTTAATCTGCAAATACACAGACAAGAGAGAACCTCAGATAATGACAGCAAAATTGGAGGAGCATGCTGAAAACTTTGGGCTTCTGAATATCATTATATACTACAAGGCCCACGATTAACCATAAAAATTTGGTAAACAAATAGATCAATAGTCCAATAACAAACCTATTGGGTGAAGCAATGGGTAGTAAAAGAAAGAATATAAACTGGTTCAAAGAAACTTCTAGCATTCTTTATTTATAATGACCAAACAAGTCTTGAAATAACTTCTCAGGCTTCACCCATATATTCGTGTTTTCATGTATAATTTCCACTCCCATGACACGGAAAAAGAAGTGTTCTGAATATACTTACTTCCAAATATTCATCCATCCCATACTTGGAACCTTCCCGTCCGAGGCCAGACTGCTTAAAGCCTCCAAATGGAGCTACCTGCACAAAAAGCAAACAAGCACTGAGCCAGTCACAACATTGCCATTGTGATGCCCATGGCAGATGCAGTAGGAGTCCTACCTCTGTTGAAACCAGTCCTTCATTGACTCCTACAATGCCATATTCAAGAGCCTCGGAGATGCGCCAAGAACGTTGCATGTTTGACGTGAATACATAAGCAGCTAATCCTGAAAGTGTAGGTGTTGAATGTATAGTGAAACACCTATCTCATTGTCTTTTGGATAAATCCATGATCTATTTACCAAGAGATTTGGGTAAAAAGTTTGCGTAGCCACGTTAAATATATATATTGATAACTAAAACCTTAAATATATTTCTATATTAGGTTAGCAAGACATGCAAAAGGATGCAACTTTGAATGGTTCTGATCTTGTGACAATATATGGAATATTTTGGAGCACAAACCTGCATTCGTGTCATTAGCAATGTTTATAGCTTCCTCCTCAGTTTTAAATCGCAGAAGGGGTGCAACAGGTCCAAATACTTCCTCCCTGAAGAGAAACATATTTAAATACAAGGTCGAAGTGCATAAAATAAAACAAGAAAGAGCCATATACTTCATATATCTTAAAATGAAACTTTTATCAAATTTGAAAATCCAAATATCTATGAAGGAACTTATAACCTACAAGCCAGTGTTATTAAAGGCTCAATGCGCACTAAGGCACTGAAGGTCTCTCGGGGCCTAGGCGCAAGGCAAGGCGCGGGCTTTATTGAAGCAAGGCGTACAGTCTTAGTAAAAAACAAATAAATTAATATAGACTAATCATTCATAGTACTAAGACAATTTTTTTTAAATAATATGTTCTTATTAATCATTTATTTATTATATTTTTTAAATAATATGTTCTTGATAATTTTTTTATTTTTATTTTACATACATATATTTGTGTTTTTTTATTAATATGTATAAATATATATTATATAAGATATAAGACAATATATACTTATATATATTATATAAGATATAGGTAAAATTATTTTAAACTTATATATATATATACTAATACGTATACATATTAAGATAAAAACCAAACAAAAGATAGATAAGACAGAGAGAAGCCGATAGAGAGAAAGAGAGAAGAGAGAGAGATCGCGAGCTTGTGAGAGGCGAAGGCGAGAGAGATAGAGAGAGCGATCGAAGTCAAAGGGAGGTCAAGTCGTCAAAGTTGAGAAGACGAAGGCGACGGGAGGTCGTCGAAATCGAGAAGAAGAAGTCGGCAAATCAATTCGAATCACCCAGGCCTAACAGCAAACAGAGAAGGAGAAGAAGAAAAAGCAGCGCTGACCTGACTCAAAGCCAAAGTCGAATTCGAGAGAGGAAGCCCAGAGGAAGAGAGATGACACAGATTTGTTTGATCGATTAGGGCTTTAAGTCGTATTACTGATTTGGGTTGAGTAACTCATTGAATGAGTTGTAATCCTATGTGGTTGAGCCTTTCGAAGACAAATCACAGCCGTTAGATCAGCAGCAGAAACAACAAAAACAAAGCCCGCTTAGGCACGAGCCTTGCGCCTCTCGAAGCCTGCCAAAGTCGCATCTAAGGCGCACGCTTCATCTAATGCGCCTCGCCTTGAACCCGTTAAGGCGCACTTCATGCGCTGCACTGCGCCTCGCGCCTAGGCGCACTTTTCACAACACTGCTACAAGCTAAAGCGGCAATGGCTAAAATCAATCACCATCAGAAATCACCAGAGGAATGACTACACAGTCTCTGCAAGTGGATCTAAATGTCCAGGCCAATCATCCCCATTTTGAGTATTGTGCCATGAACACAAACCATTACACAGAAAATAAAGTACAGAAGTCCAAGTCACTAAGTTCTTTCTGAAAATTCATTTGTAAAGTTCCCCTTCGAGAATCATTTTGGTTCTCAAATGCAAACTTCAATTGCAAACAGCATAAACTTTCGCTAAGTAAACTAACAAGCACAGAATGAAAGCAGTCTAGCACATTTAAGCTATTAACAAACTACATCAAAATAGTTATAGACATCAGGTACTCCTCCCAGTGTGCATACATTTGCGGTGATGCAACCTAAACTTTATAATTTTCAAGCTGAAATGTTTCACATATGCATACATCTTAGGTGATACCAACTAAACTCTAATAATCTGCAAGCTGAAATGAAAAAGCAAATAAACTCCATTAGCAGATTATATTAAGCATTCATTCACCTAAGCAACAGCCCTTGATATAGCTCAACTACGTTAAGAACCACTAAACCATTGATGTCATATACTAAGTTCCAGGTTTATTGATGTTTCTGTTACTGCTCCCTTCTTTTGAAAATGACAACAGGGAAAAGAAACGTATTCGTCCAAAATTAATTAATGCCTTTGCAAGACCATCCACCATCCTCTGGTAATGTCAGACAAAACCTAGTACTTTCAAACCAATTCACCATTAGGACTCTAAATTTAACTTAGTGCTGTTGATTTTCATGAGCACATATTGCCAGAATTTACTATCATTTACTGTATTTACTGTCTGTTCATGCAAGTAGGATCTATCGAAATGCATCTTGCAATAATAGTTTACAGAATTTCAAAGATAAAAATTTATCAATTATCAAACAACTCTCTTTAGGGGCCATTGCTTGGTGCAATCATAAAGCAATCTACAATGATGGTTAGGCCTGTACCTAATCTACCCCCCTCCCAGCACCCTCGATTATCAAGGGCCAGCTCTGGGGAATGGTTTTCATCCAAAAACTTCATATCAAACCAATCACCAGCTTGCCATGTTAATGTCACTTGATCATGCAACATAATGGGTGTCTTGAGCGATAGAACATTCAACTTGTGGACATGAACAGGGACTAAATAGCAACCAGTGTCTCACAAGTTTCTAAACTACATTGTTCAAAAATTCTATCACAACTACACAGTAAGAAACATAATAGTCTAAAGCATTCCCTTTTCTGCACATACATGAGATCATTACAACATTACCAAAATAATAATGCAAGTAAAGAATTTGAAACTTTCTAACAGCCAACGTTTTAAAACAGTTACTATTTGGCTTCTAGAGTTTTACCTTGATATGAGCATCTCACTTTTGACATCAGTTATTATTGTAGGCTCATAAAAAGTCATTCCAAGGCTATGTCTCTTTCCCCCCAAAAGGACTTTTGCCCCCTTCATATCAGAAAATTTATGATTTATGAGAGAAATTATATTAAGTATTGTAGTAAAAAAACATCCTAGTCAACTAAATAGTAGTTTCTGAGTAAAGGGAACCAACAAAAATCAGCACCAGGAAAATAAATAAAATAAATTCTTACACTGAAACATGTCAACTCCAAGCAGCATGAGAGAACAAAGAAACAGATGACACAACCGCAGTGGCAAACACAATTGTAACAATAGCATTCTTACCAAATATTAAAGGACTAGATTATTCAAAATAATGTTTGCGCCTTTCAGTTGAAGTGCCAACTGATGGAGAATGATCGTGTACTCCACGCACACACACACAAACAAACAAACAAAAGAAAAAACTAAAACTGCGACGGGTCAACATAACCAATTGGTTCATGAAAACTATGGATGACTGTGTTTCTAACTTGACCATTACTTAAAGCAAGTTGAAAAGTGGTCAATGTGGGGCTCTGAAGCACATGCTTTTGATAGTAATTGCGATGCTAAAGCATGTCCATTGTTCAATGTGGGACAGTGGACGATGCATATCAAACCAAGATGAACTCCCTAACCATGACAATACATATTCATTCCTTCTTCTTAATTGAAGATGACCCAATGGGTCAGTTGCACAAGAGGGCCAAGCTGTCAATAAATGGCAAGATAGCGAAGAAAGGGCCCATGGATATCTGTGTAGTTTTTTCTATCTATTATCCATGAGATCCTAGTGTTTGGGTATTACATAATTTTAAAACCTTTATATAGTATTTATATAAATTTAAAATATATATATTTATGAGGTAATTATAATGTCATGGCTCAATTCTAATTGACCCGACGGTTGACAGTGACCCAATCCGTTTTCTGATTTGGTTAACGGATCAGATTTCAGAACATCGACACAATACAATTGAAGAGTGTCTAACAAAGAAATAAAGCAACGCAAACTTTGCTCACCTAAAGTTCCCTATGAATGATACTTTGTAGTTCAAATACCCCTGTCTAAGTAACAATATCAAATTAGAACCCTATGTTACCCTAAGCAGAATATGAAGAAAAATCATAATTAGGTACTCTACCCATATTCCCGGTGTCATAAGATTTACAGATTTGACATTTGACACATAGACAAACACCCCTAACTCGGGCAAGTAAGATAGGGGAAGCCAAAAGAGGACACCATTAGACATAATAGATAGGATCCATCTGCTCCCCCTCACTTTATTTATTTGTTTACTTCTTTAAGAGTGAAAAGAACCAATGCTCAACTGAAAGAAAGAGCAATCAACCATATGCTTAACTCATGCCCCAGGAGTCTCATTGCAAATGAAAGGGAACAGTTGGGGACAGAGCTCTAAGGCTTTATCTATATTTAATCTAAAAGGAAGATACAATCATTTCTTATGCAGAAAGTTAATGGGAGAACCAAAACTAAAAGCATTGTAAAACCAGCAGCATAGCAAATTTTTCTCCTGTATAGTACAATATAGCCTAGTTTATTGTATCCATTTTACTACTATAACAAATTTAAAATTTCAGCAACCTATATTCTAAAGGCTCCCAGCCTCCCTCAGAAGATAATGCCATGTTTCTTAACAAGGATGTCAAATGCCTACCTGTTCCATGTCAATGGGAAAAATACAACCCACGGAAGTACATAACAAGCATCAAAACTCGCTTACAGGTTCAGCATATTATACAGTAGAAGTGAAGGACCAAGTCACCCACTGTCACCTCTAGTTAACAAGATTCAACATATTATCAAGTGGGGTATACTAAAATAGTAATTGTACCAGAAACATAAAGTATGAGCACATGGACCATTATTTAGATAAGACAATCATGAACTAAGAACCAAAAATAGTTTCTGACCCATGGACCATTAAAATGTCTTGGTGTGGTACCAAAGCCCTAGGATCGAGTCCTGCCTTCACCTGGGCTGGGAGGGGTTATGGGAAAGGAGAGGGCTACCCCTAGTTGTGTATCCCACCACCATTGGACCAAAAGTAAAATAAAATAGCTTCTGATCCTTCTCTAAATAAACGTTTATTAATTTTATCAGTATAGATGATAAAGCAAACCTTTAACTTAGCATCTTGCAGAAATGATTCAACCTGCGAGACAAATCCAGAAAGGATCAAATAGGATAGAAATAGATGTAAGAAACACCAGCTTCACAAGAACACTGCTTCAGGGAAACTGTTCAAGTCAAGACTAACCTTCTGCACTGCAGCTTCATTAATTAGTGGACCCTGCAAGAAACAGACAATTTAACTTCAAACAATGTTTCTTAACTCACTTGTTCTCCATTCTCAGGAAGGGGGAAATGCTCAAATTGTGGTAGTAGACTGAATAATGACATTTCCTCAAAAAGGTGCGGAAAAAATACAATCCTGAATCAAAATTGATGCATAGCATACCCTTAGATTACATGCTTGGAAAATGAAGAAACAGGAGAAAGCCCATGTGACCTAACCAATGGATCAATAAGGCTCACCATACTGCGTAACATAATCAAGGATTGTTTTTTGATAGGTTTGGTTGAAAACAAATGAAGCCATGTACTTTGGAATTGGAAGATTCATGTTTCCATAACAGGGGACATTTCTGTAATTTTCTATGTTGTGGACAAGTTGAAAATTTCATCTTTCTTTGATGTCTACGTTCTAGGTTGTTTGATAATGTGTTTGCATCTCTTGTTATTCAATATTTGTTGAGGCTTAACTACTTTAAGAAACCATTGTTTGGTGGGATTTGAGGAAATCATTTTTTAAGTAGGAAAGTGTCTATGGTTCCGTATAAGCTTTTATGTATCTCCAGCAATGCTCCCACAGTAGTGCTAATGCTATTATTTGGCATGATTAGCACAAAAAAAATCAACTTCAACAGTTTGCTGTCTGTTGGATAGCTTGATTTACATTGTTGGGCTCATTGTCCAATAGCTTAAGCTTTTGCGAAACTTAACATGGTATTAAAGCTCTAGTTGGGAGAGGTCTTAGGTTCAAGTCTCCCCGTTTACATTTGCTCCCATTTGCATTCTACTTCTCTCTATGTATGTCACTTTGCATATCCACGTGCAGCATGGAATTGCATATGAGATAGGTTATAGGATAGCTTGATATATATTGTTCACCCCTATTAGATCAACACTAGTCCCAAAAACTTAAGTTGTTAGAGCGTCTCCAACGCTTCCTCTTTTGTTTCATCAAATTTAAATTTGATGAAAAACGTACAGCTTTGGTGCTCCAATGTTAACATCAAACCATCAAATTGAGGATTTCTCAAACTTTTCATCAAATTGAGGATGACTAGAGCCTTTCACCAAATTACTGTAGATAGCCGTTGGGACCATACGCTAGACAACCGGCCGGTTGTTTGGCCTTGGTTAGACTTCCCGTAAATTTACACTAACCGGTCGACCGGCCGGACATCCTCCCAGTCGTCCTCCTGGTCGACCGATGGTTTGATGAAAAATGAAAATTTCCCGTTGGAACGCTCATGAAAAATGAAAATTTCCCGTTGGAACGCTCGATATCAGATGAAGCTTTTACTCAACTTTGATGAAAAAAAAAGAGTAAACATTGGAGATGCTCTTAGGAAATGGGCTCAGTAATGTACATCAAGCGTTTCCCTCACGTGTGATCTCGTCTCACATGTGGAGAGCCAAATAGACCAAGAAACAAGGTGCAAAAAAAAAGACAAAACAAAGTACACAATGACAAAAATAATGAGGGTAACAAGAATTTAATCCAAAATTTCCTATAACAAGAACTCATATTATGTCACCAACTGCCCCCAAAAGCTTAAGTTGTTAGAAAATGCACTCAACAATTTATATCAAGCTGACAGGCTCCTTTCTTAACAACTTAAGCTTTTGGGACAATTAGTCACTTAACACTATCCATACTGCTAAATTTAGCATGATGCTCTCCATTGTGCTAATTCTGGCACGATTGGAGTAAAATGCCAAATTTTAGCTCAATCAAAAATTTACTATATTTCACCCCATAAAAATGCAATATCAATTAATTATTGTCAAGTTGGCAAGTTTGGCATCGTACAATGTTGCCAACTGTGCTACCACATTCCCCTACACCAAATTATATATTTTATTTATTTTATTTGATGTGACTTTGAATTAAATTAACAAATTGAAATTTCTTTAAAAAAATTAATCATTGCATTAAAAAATTTACATTTAAAGACTCTGCTAATTCATATAAGAAAAATGCTTGGTGGCCCGAAAAGGAACCGCTCGAATGGCCCGAATGGGTGTTGGCTGGTCGTCCGCCTGGATGACCGGCCAGACATCTGTCCGGACGACCAGATGAAAGATTGTCCACCGCAATTGTCACCTTTGTCGACCGCGGCTGTCAGCCTCCTCGCCGAACGACCAACAAGATGAATTTCGAGCCATTCAAGCCAACCTCATATTCGGATGACCGGCATTGCTCTTCATATAATTAGGTCTACAAAAGAACATTGTAAGGTAAAAACTGAATCATACAGTAATAGTGCTAAAAAAATAAATCCAAATACAACACTTTAACCTAAGTAACAAATTCCCAAAGCAAGAGTGGAGCATGAGAGCATCCTTTGTAAGGCTACCTCGAGAACGGGAGCACCTTCAAAGCGTGTATATGTATATTTAAATATTTACATATTTTTATAATATATTCATATATTTATTTTTATATATAAAAAGTAATTATATTTGTTTACAAACAAAATACAACAAATATTCAATAAATAAGAAATATTTCCAAAATATTTAACAAATGTCAAGTGCCTAGTAGTGAATTGCGCTTCTAATTTCCTCGGACAAGGGTGTGGGATATGTGTTTGATACTTTCCATTGGACACTTCTTATATATTAGTATTAACACTATCATTACATGTATAGATTATTGTATAATTGCTATAAAATTAGTAAAATACATTTTTAACATTGTATGTCACATAATAAATTAAAAATATGACCATTTTTTTTTGACAAATCTGTGCATCCTTAAATTCAATATTTGATGGGTCTGACCTCTAGATATACACTTGCATCTGAAACCTGTACCCAAGTCCTGTTAACATAGCCTGCCATGACATTTTACATGATGAATTTGATCTCCCGAGAATGCGTGCACAGTGAAAGGCGTGAAGACTAATCCAGTGTCTCACCTCCCATAGGGCAAAGATGTGACAAATAAAAATAGGACATAATTGAATTTGTTTGTAATGCGCAGATTTGACCACAATAATCCGAGGATTTGACATTATTTCATGGACAATTAGCCAATCCGCAAGCACTGTGCCAATACAGAGTTCTTCCACTATTATAGGTGAATTAGATGACTTCGATTTTTTTTTTGATCCAATAGATGACTTTGATTTTGACACTATATTGTGCTAAAATATAGTTTTGGCATGACTGGATGGCACGGATACACAAGTTGATAAGTAGATTACAATACCGTTTGAATAGTGAAATTACATTAAAAGGTCTTAAAAAAGTTTTACTGTTATTATTATTATTATTATTATTATTTAATTCCTAACACTGTCGAGTATAACCACACAATATTCAACTTTCTTTCACCTTATTTAAGTCCATAAAACCTTAACCAAATTTACCCATCATTTAACCCTTAAATTTTCCTGTTGTCTGCAATTTCCTAGAAGATTGCTATTCAATTTGATGCCAAAACCAGCCTAACACTTGGAACTCAACCATAAAGACATCCTTAACCCTCTCTTCTCAAGCATAAACCCAAAACATTTAAAGCACAAACCAATTCCACCAAATTTGATCACAAGATACCATTTGTCGTGCTCCGTTCTGCATCACATGTCGCATCATAAAATTGATAAAATAGTTCCAACACAATTCGATTTCAACCATGAAAATATTACCATCTACTTTTATTGAAAAATGAAATTTAACATGTAGTGCACGACTGATTACCTGAGACACACCTTCATGAAAACCATTACCAACTTGCATTTTCTGGACAATATTGGAAAAGGCATCTGCAAATTTATCATAAATACCTATACAAAGGTTCATTGTATCAATCACCAAAAAACATTTGAAAAACAAAAAGTACTTTCGAAAAGGTCAATGAAGAAAATAGAATGATATAAAAGAAACTATCTGCACAAATGAAGCTATTAAAGATCAATTAATTAAAAGAAACGATGCAAGCCGTAATAATGTCAAGAAAAAATAAATTTAATGAAGCAAAGATTTTGAAAATTGACATGACTTCACTAACATTGGTCAAGAATTCCAGACAAGTTTTTTAAAATTACACTAGAGTTTTAGAAATGTCATTTTATCATTGAATAAGGAAGTTTGAGAGACACGTTTCTAGTTTCCATAACTTAACATTACACTAGATTTTCTGAAATGTCTCGGATCTAAAACATCTTGGAAACTTTTCCTCAAAGTTTCTATTAAAATTTCGTGAAAGTTTCATTTCTATTCTTTAAACGAGTTTCTAAGTAAACAAGTTCCACCTATCAAAGAGAGTTTCCTGGTAACTATGCTGTGGATATTCCATCATGTTATTTGTTCAAATGGATTTCTAGACACACCAACAGGGAAGGTGATAATCAAGCCAATGACTGGCAATAATACATTGGAGTTTCTTAGAGGTCATTTCTGTGCTCAGTAGTAGTTTTGGGACTTTAGGCAGGCTCTCTTTTGGAACTAAACTCCCTCTTGTTTCCTTGAGATAATACTATAGCTCTTCATTGTCTTTTAGCTTTTCTTTACATTTCCTACAAGGATGCCTCATCCTAATTATGCCTAAGCTATTTTCAATTTGATAAAAACTTGCTCATTTTATGCAAAGAAAAATGATATGCTTACAAAAAAAATTATAAAGAACTCATAACAAGAATGATGCGGCAGTGGCATTTGTGAAATTATGAGGATAATGACGAGTATTTTCATTATAAATGAAGGGACTAGAAGATGCCACATCATTCTATATGGAAATTTTGTTCATAAGTTTTGTTTGTATACCATTATTCTTATGCAAAACACATACTATCTAAAACAATTAGAATTGCATATATGTACTTACAAAAAAATAAATAAATAAATTTAAAGAAATATTTATAGTTTAGTGAACTTTCATTTATACCTTCTTGCACAATTATTCTATTTGCACAGACACATGTTTGTCCACTATTACGGAACTTTGTTGCTAACTGCAACAACAAATTGGATGTTAACAGTTCACTTACTCATACAATGGAAAGTAAAAATATTGACAAACAGAATAATAATGTCCATCAAAACAAGCAGCAGGAGAACTATTCTTAAAAACCACAAAATATTTGACCAATGTAATATACAAGTGGTAGGAGAAAGATATCAAGATGAAAGGTTCTATTTTGATGATGAAGACAAAGCCAATTCTCCTTTTCACACGAGTTTACACTACCTGGGAATTCCATAGGAAAGAAAAAAAGAAATAGGTGCACACAACTATTTTCTTTAAAATAAAAATAAAAAATATATTCCAGCAAGAAAGAACACAATCAATAAAATGTCGAGCCAAAACATGTTGGATCTTCTTAAACTACTACTATGGCTCTGAAAGAGGCATTCAAGTAATAATTGCACCATCCCAGTGAACAAAAGATGAACAATTTCCATCTGAACATTGACTTCTATAAATATTCTAGGTTGTTTTTGGAATTGCCTATTTTAGTTGACTTTTTAGCTTTTACGAAAAGACATGTAGAAAAGTAAAGAGAAGAGTTGACTTTTTTGTACGGACTTTTTGGCTATTTTAGCCTATTGCCAAAACAGCCCTCTGTTTGGTATATTGATCGAGCATTCCTCTGAGGCAGACCACAGCTATATTATGCCATGGAAGTAAAGCCAATACATATGCCTTCAATAACGTTGGACAAGTTTCATATACCTATAAACTAGGAAGAGGCCACTGAGACTGAAGTAGAAAACAGATCCTGATAGTGATATCAATTACATGCTGTGAAGCTAATCATAAAGGTATTCCCATAATTCAATCATGAAAACACCAGTCAAAAGGTAAATTTTCAGAACCACCTAAAGAATTCAAGGACTATTTGTCTGACCTCCAAGATTTGGCCCAAAAACTTGCTCAAAGAATTGTATTCCATACATAACATTCTAGTATCTGTTTTATGCTTGGGCATTGACGGCATTACTGAATACACACAAACTCCTACTGTTCTGTTTGTAATATCATATGAAATCCCAATCAAACCATTGTCAAATATTGAGCCCTTTAGCAGCTATTCAATGTTCTTTTGGGTCCATCTAGCCCATTGGTTGCAACCACTGGCCCTGTCCACAAAATTGAGAAGGTCGTATTAGGAAACGTCCACATTGATCACCAAACATCTAATAGCAAGTTGCCAGAATCTGGATGGAGCTTACGACTTCTGGTCAGTTTGAATATTATCGAAAACCAGACGTGCAGTCTCACCGCTGTACAACCATATCCGCTAATGAATCTCAACCCCCAAAAAAATGATCTACACATACCGCACATTTCTGGGTTCCAAACCTCTTTTTTAGCATGTTGGGATATTCACCAAGATAAGTTGGTTTCTGGGAACAAGGGTATATTCTTTCACATTGTTGATTTCACATTAAATGCAGTCATATGGTTCAGTAATTCCGTCTCAGAGTAAATTATATCTATCCAAAGTCAGGTGCAACTTATGTTACATGGACTCCTCTAAATTTGTAAATACCCATGCAAACACTTGGCACTTGGGTAAGTGTATGGATTATGAAATATGGGTCCGATATACCTAGCTGGAGATGCACCCAACAAGTACGTATAAGTTATTAAGTTTATTATATACATATGCATAAGACTTCTATTTTATAGATGAAGTGGTATATTTTAGTTTTTAAACATCATTATACCCTTGAGATATTAAAAAAACTATTTAAGAAATATGAAATAAATCCATGTCCAAGTGTCCTTGACAGGAGATTTCGATGAATCCGACAATTGACACATACTTGCACCCAAATTAAATCTCCAATAGAACCAAAACTTTAGACCTATATATAGATGCACTAGTTAGCCATAAGTTTTAATGCTATGGAAACTTTAAAAATTCCAGTTAAACTCCTGGTTCCAAACAAATGATGGGCCAATGCCACAACGTAAATAAATAAATTATGTGTTTAACTTATAACAATTCTAGGTCAACCCAACTCAACTAAGCCTTTTGCCAACTATTACAATTATAGTCTTTTCTCCAAAATGCTAATGTGGGTATATGGACCCACTATCCATATGGCTTATCCATGTCAGTGTCATGTCAGACCCTATCACCACGAGACAGTTTCCTAGAATGACACCTGGGGAAACTAGGCGTTGCCATTTGTCCAGCCTTGAGATAGGACACCAGGGGCAACCCCAAAAGGCACAAGCTCATTCCTCTGCTGAGTGTGCCCCCCTCCATGGCATGATCTAGCTGGGACCTCCCTGGATTTGGTCAAGTTGTTCTCCAACCAAGCTGCTTATCTCCCTCTTTCTATATATACACAATCTCCCAAGCCACAAGAAGATTTTTATCCTAACCAGGCTCAGAGAGATAGATCCGAGGTTAGCACCTCGATCATAGGGCAGCCAAGCAACCCATGACCCCCATGCAGTATCACTTGTGTTCTATGGCTTGGTGGGCTACAGCTAGAGGGTTCATTGAGGTAACTTGTCCCATCCTCCCTCAAGAGACCTGGACCTCAACCAATCTCGAAGATTTTGGTTGTCAACTATGAAGCATGGACACTCCAAAATCGGTACCGTGGCGGTATCCGACACACGGACACGACGGGGACATGGAGACACGTACAGGACACACCGGATGGCATGTCCCTTTAATTTAATGAATTTTTTGTAGGGGATAGAGCGGGGCTAATTTTTAATTTTGTTATATTTATTTGGGGTCAAAGTGTAATATTTAAAAAGTATAAAAAAAAATTTAAAAAAAAAAAAAAAAAAAAAAAAAACAAAAAGAAAAAACAACGATGTAAAAGATCAACACAAAAATCATTCTTTGCCCTAATCGTAACAAACGACAGAGAGTGAAGGAATAGAGTGAAAGAGAGAACCTATCGCCGACTTGAACCAGTCGATCCACCACCTCCATCCAGTCGATCAAAGACCCCCGACCCCCATCTTTGAAGACCTCCATCAGTCGATTGTGAGCTCCATCAATCGAGCTCCATCCAGACGACTTCGAAGGTAAGCCCCTCTCTCTCTCTCTCTGTCTCTCTCTCTCTCTCATATTCCAAAACTGTTTTTTATTTTTTATTTTATTTTATACATTTATATATATATATATACATAAGACTTTGTTTTTTTTTGTAATTATATGTTTATATATATGTATGTATATCTCTAAAACTATATTTTTTTTATAAAAAAAATTATAGGTTTATATATATATATATATACAGTATGTAAAACTCTCTTCCTCTTTTTTTCCTTCTAATGTGAATGTTAATTTATAATAGTTATAATGTATGGGAAAAATGTCTGGTTCAAATTCTGCCAATAACACACCATCTGCCTTTGATGCTGAAGATGATAAGCCACTGTGGAAATATGTGACTAGATTAGAAAAATTTGATGTAAGAGGAAGGAACTATACTTTTCAATGTAACTTTTGTACGACTACACGTAAAGGATCATACACTAGGGTAAAAGCCCATTTGATGCAAATTAGAAATCAAGGGATAGAAGTGTGTCCAAAAGTAACAAGTAAGGATAAAGCTGAATTTGAGAGAACAATTGCAAAAACAGAGTTGAAATTGAAAAACTCTAGGTTGAAGAAAGTTCCATTGCCTCCTCCTAGTTCAAGTGCATCATTAGGTTTATATTTCAATGAACCAGAGGAGATCTACGGATCAAAAAGGAAGAGGTCAACTGCTGTAGGGAGTGGAAGTAGTAACCATGTTATGAAAGCATTTAACATTAGGGCTCTAGAACGATTAAATGGTGAGATAGCTAGAATGTTTTATTTAGCAGGCTTGCCATTTTATCTGGCAAGAAATCCTTATTATGTTAGTGCATTTACTTTTGTTGCAAATAACAACATACAAGGATATGTACCACCTGGGTATAACAAGTTGAGAACTACATTGCTTCAAAAAGAAAGGACAAACATTGATAGGTTGTTAGACCCTATTCAAGGCACATGGAGAGAGAAGGCTGTAAGTGTAAACACAAATTGTAAAACATGAAGTGTTTCAACACATTTCAAAATTTTATGTTACAAATGTCCACTGTTTAGTTTTTTTGACTAAACAGTGTTGATTATTTGAATAGCAGGTTCTTATTTCCGATCTGTATTTCAGATCGTTAATTACACTTTTTATACAAATGAAACCTCCGATTAATGAAAAACAAAATAAACAACAAAAGACAACTTAAAAAATATATATATATATTTTATTGAGATTGTTATGGGTTTTGAACCCTCGAATACAAAATACAGTTTGGGTTTGGAACCGTTTACCTATTCATCACCATTAGCGTAGGCTCTTGAGTTCTCTAGGCTTCTCTTCTTCTTTCTTGTAACGATTTGTTTAGCTCTCAATTTCTCTCTCTCTCTCTCTCTGATCTTTTCACTTCTGATTTCTTCCTCCCCCCGTCTTGTGTGATGGTCCTCATATTTATGGAGGGCCATCAAGTGATAGGAATGCTTCATCTTCAATTTGAATTTCAAATTGAATGATAGCGCCTATTTGAATTTTGAATAATAGCACTATCTGATTAATCGTATATCTGATTAACCGGATTGATCTTTGGGATTTCATCCTGTGTGGTGTCCTTACTGTAGGCTCTAGAGGTGTCATCTTTCGTAGGCTCCACATGTCACTTGAGTATCTTGAATAACGTTATTGAGATGCAACGTCGTTTTATTTATGTATTTCAACGGATCATATTGATCTTTTCTTTTTAGGAAGTGATTACCTACAACCTTCCTATCATAGCCTCCATACGTGTCATACATTTAGTTGAAATTTATATGCAAACAAATGCCCCTCGTGACTTGCACAAGTGAATTTTCTTAACTGTGCGAGTCACGTAACTGTGCGAGTCACGACGATTTGGCACTTTTATCTGGATGATCTTTAGGTCTTGGATGTGATTATTTCTTTGCTTTGGTCCCTAGCCTCTTTTTTTTTT